CAGGCCTATCACCCCTCGAGAGATGGCCACAGGCTTGGCTTTTGTTTTTTAAGGCTTGCTATAAATCAGGCTAGAGGTCGGAGCCAAAATCCCCTCTAGCTGAAGACTTCAAGTTTGCTTAGAGGGGAGATGTAAAAACCTGTGCCTAGTCTAAGTGTTTCAACAAGAAAGGCTTCTCTGCCCTGAGAACTGATCTCAGGGGAGCCTTGAAGTGGACAGGGAGCGGCCAAGCTATGCCAAGGAGCCCAGCCGGTGGCTGCTTTGTCCCAAAGAGGGGGAAAGAGAAGGGAGCTCCTGAACTCGGGCACAGGCCTTGGCAACCCTTCCAGGCAGCGCTTGGCCCATTGGCGTGGCTGCCTTGGGACGCCCTGGCCTGCCGGAGGAGGCCTGCACAGGGCCACGGATTTATCTCTCACCAAAGAAAGGCAAGCGCCAAAGGGGGTGAGGGGTTGCCAGGATTCCTCAGGAGAAAGGAGAGGAGAAAGCAAGATCCAGGGTGCCCACAGGTGTGGGAATGCTGGGGAGACCGTCCTGGGTGAGGCCTCTAGAGAGGAAATTGGGGCTGGGCCAGAGCAGGGAACACCACCACCGACACCCACTTTGCAGGCTCCAGGAGAGCTGAAAGAAGAAGTCAGGCTAGGTTTGAGAGAGGGCCGAGGAAGACTTCCTGGGCAGAGAGGCCTTCCTCTTGTGGGCCTGCCTCAGCAAAGCCTGCAGGGAGAGGTGGCACCCTTTTCCAGCCACGCCAAGGCAAATTGGGGGAGGGGACTGCAATTCCCATAAGGAGAGGTGGCCTGAACACACAGCCTCCTGATGTCTCTGAGTCACACACATGTGTCACAAGGAAGTAGGCCCGAGAAGACCTCTGGCCCTTTGGTCCAACAAGCTTCCCCCCCCCCTCTCTCACACACACACATGTACAGTCATAACTTGGCCTTCTAAATTTACCAACTCAAAGAGGAGCACAGCAGTATCCTTTCGTCTGTTTTAGGTGTGATTGTCATTGCATATGGAACCAAAACAGCAGCACCCATCCTGCATCAAAAGGTTTGGGAGGTATTGGCAAGCTTGAGGCAGACCCAGGTCCCACAGCTGCCTGGGTTCCAGGCAGGATCGTTTCCCCAACCTGTTCTCATGGGTCTCCCATCCAAGCCAAGCACAAACCCGGGGCCGATCCTGCTTAGCTTCCCAAATCTGAGGAGACCAAGGGGGTTTACCCGGAGGTGGCTGGCTCTCCCGGGGTCTTGCAAGCCAGCTGTTCCACGACCCCTCCCCCCCCTTCGCTGGGTTCGAGCTAAGGGGATCGGAGTGAGGGCGCGCGGGCGACCAGAGGCCGCCTTTTGGAGCGCCTCAGACCCGGAGGGGT